CAGCAAGAAATTGTTAGCAGAAATATTTCACACATTATTGAGATTTTAAAAGAACAAAAATATATTGATTTTCTTTATAACAGGTTAGATCAGAGACCTGTTAGATCATTTCATACAGTATCGCCATTCAAAAGTTTAGGGTTAAGATTTTTTAGCACACATTAAATTGATGAAGTGACAGTTAAGACATTTATGTTATAAAATATTTCTATCTAAAATAAATGCTGCTCTTTTGAAGTTTGAAAATAAAAGTCACAATTTCCACAAAAATAAGCAGCACAACTGTTTTTCCCATTGATGATAATAATAAGAAATGTTTCTTGAGCACCAAATTAGCATATTACAATGGTTTCTGAGGATCATGTTATATGACACTGAAGACTGGAGTAATGATGCTGATATTGTAAAGTATTTTAAATTGTAATAATATTTCACAATATTCTGTTTTGTCTGTATTTTCTCATAAAAATGCAGCCTGGATGAGCATAAGGGCCTTCCTTTAAAACATTAAAAGCTCTCACGCCCCCAAACCCTTGAACAGTAGTGTATATTTTCTATACAATTATTTTCTTTCCTCTTAGTGTCAGGCACAGACGAAGTAACAGTGCGCAACATGCACAGACTCTATACACCGCAAACTCACTGAGCTCATAGTATCTAAAAGCTGGACAAGAGAGAGTTACTCATGTCAGTCAGAGAATGGTATCTTCACTGTCCTCTCTGACTGGACTGAGATGAGACTTCCTCTGCTTGGAGATGGCAGCCCACAAGCGACACAGCATCCCACCTCTGAAAAACAAATGCACAAACACAGATTTACTTCAACACACTGTTTAAATGTTTAGATTAAAGTATTCATTTCTTGAAAAAAATAGACTTATTCAGCAAGGATGCATTAAATTGATCAAAAGTGACAGTCAAGACACTTTGAATCAATTAATCAAAGAATCTTGAAAAAAAGTGTATCTCTGCTTTCACAAAAATATTAAGCAGCACAACTGTTTTTAACATTGATATTGACATTGATAATTATAATGATTTATGAAGGATCATGCGACACTGAAAATTGCAGTAATGATGCTGTAGATTCAGGTTTGCAATCACATTTTAAAATGTAATCATTTCACAACATTAAGGTTTTTCTGTATTTCTGATTATACAAATGGAGCCTTGGTGAGCATAAAAGACTTCTAAATCTTAGTGTACTGCATCTTAGAGAAAAATGGTACTCCTTTACAACATATGACTTTTTTAATCAAATATAACATTTAACTATATGTCTCTCCTACACCTTGCCACATTTTTTCCTTTTTGGTATTGATGTCGAAAGGACTTACTTGATGCCACAGTACTGCAGATCATCTCTGCACGTGAGGTGGAGGAGACTGTCCAATGTGAACTCATGAAAAACAAGCTTAAAGAAAACAAACAACAAGCAATCACTATTACCTTCTAAATAATATATGAATCTAGAATATCTGAAATCTATAAATATGAATTAGCAATCAAAGGGAATATATTTTTCTATATTTCAACTCACTATTTCTATGGTTTTCTCATCGACTGGAACACCTCTTAACCATCGCACCACAGCAGAATTGTGAGCAATATGGGATGGTTTATTATCTGTTGGAAAGTATAAACATAACAAACGTTGGCTGTATAAACTCGTATTTGCACTTTTGTACAGTGATGTTACAGTACTATACTATTACTGCAAAACTGGTCATTACAAAAAAAAAAAAAGTCACTGTTTCTAAAACACTTCCAGAAAATTCCAGGGATTATTGCTATAGAAGTACATCTGGTGAAAATGCAAGCCCAGAGGGTAAGCCATAAACTTGGTTGGTTGAAATTGGGTAACAGGTTTAAGTGATTACAGGGCGTATTCTTTAGGAGTATCAAAAACTCCTAAAACTAAAGACAAGTAGTGGCATGTTGAGTAGACGTGAATAAATGTGACATTGCTCCATGGCCACACCTTTTGACTGCCTCAGGCGACAACATTCTCTCATACGAAAGAAGCAATTCACAAACAATTGTTTAGTGGTAAATACTGTGTTCAAAAAACGTGAGCAACCTATAGCCGCAGCTCTGATCTCCAGGGTGTTGATGTGCCTTTGTTTGGTATGAATGGAGTTCTTCAGAAGTTCCTGAAATTCTTTCTCCTTTTCATTCAGCTGAATCAACAACCTGAAACATAGTGTGAACAATTCCCAACAGCAACAAATCAGTGTGGTTAATTCATTGCATAACTGTTCTCATTCACTGCCCTCTTGTGGCTAATTTGAAAAATAAATAAAGGTCATTCTGTTGTGACATGAATCACCACCATCACTGCACTATATATATATATATATATATAGACACACGCACGCACACAAACATTATAATATGCTGTTTTTGTGCTCAAGAAACATTTTCTAACATTTACAAACATTGTTGAAAATTGTCTGCTTAATATATTTGAGGAAACCATCTTGATTCTTTGCTAAGTAAAAAGTTCAAAAGAATGGCATTTATTTGAAATAGAAATCTAATATTTGGAATTAGAATTTTTTTCTGATTTAATTTTAGTTACAATTTTTGTAATTTCATCATTCTTATTAGTAAACTTTTAAAGGATTACATTTTTTATATATATACACACATCATATGTGTGTATAGCTTTTTTCAGTTTTAGTTATTTTGGTTCATAAAATGTAAAAAGATAAATGATGCCTTGGCAACAAGCTGAAATAAAATCTTTTTAAACAATTTATTTCAGTTAAAGTTTATTTTACTTCAAGTAACAACATTTTTTGTTATGGTTTTAGTTTGGTACATATCATGCATGTGGTACATAATTGTATCCATTAAACACTTTTTAAAAGTTTGGAGGGCAACAGAGAGAAAAGGTTTTGGATACCTCATAGACTCCAAGCGAAGTTCTGATAGCTCCTTTGCGAGTGAAGAGTGACTGGAGATGATGTCACTGTGGAGATTTTTACATTTGGTATGACCCTCTTCAGAATTCTGAGAGAGGATACACGATTCCTCTATGTCCTTTGCGAGGGGAGTGACAATCGGTTTAGAATCGGCCTCTGTGGGTTGCTCGGTTTCTTGAGAACTCTCCTCATTTTCAAAAGATGACTGTAGCTGAAGCTTGAGCTCTGGAAAAGGGATTTTGATGGATTGCAAAGAATGTGTGCCCATAACAGAAGATTTAGAGATGCAATAGTAGCCTGTGGGGCCACTGTTGCGTTTGAAATGGTGTCCTTTACATACCTGGTAGCAGAACCGTGATAGTATCTTGTACAGCCTGCCTCAACAAGTTGTCCAAAGCAAACATCCAGTGAGGTTTTATCTTCTCTTTCTTTAGAACCTTCTTGACCTATAAACATAAGTCACATCTGATGAAGAATACGATTTTTTTTATACATACATGTATGTATGCATGCATACAACCCCGAGTATGAACGATAGAAATAATAATATTTTCCAATGTCAATAATTAAACCCTTAGCTTTAGTTTGATTCTGGTTTAATTGAGATTAAAGCAATTTGAAAGCAAAGAACATACTGCATCCTGGAAGCTAAAGAGCACCGTCTGCAGGCTGCTGAGAGGCACAGAGGAGTTCAGCAGACTGGAGCGTAAAGTCAGGAGGCTGTTATTCAGGTGCCTTTTGTCTGGAGAGCGGATGTTTTCTCGGAGGCAGCAAATCAGTTTGCTGATGTGATCTGAGGTAATGCACGGCTGCTCCACCTGCGAGATGGGGGAAAAAAACAGCAAGTGTCAATCATTCAGGCATTCGAGAAAAGGCATTTGAGAAAGGGCACTGGTGGTGTGACAGAATTCCACATCAAGCATCTCAGGTGACACAGTAGTGTGGGAATGTACCTGTGGCAGTGTCTCCTGAATGTTTTGAACTACAAGGCTGATGTAGTCAGTAAGGATCCTATGTAGCGTATCCCTCCGTTCGCTGTCTTTTCTCAGCATGAACAAACCTAGATTCTCTCCAGAACAAGCTGGACTTGTGGTCATGTCTCCTAGAGGATCATCTGGCAGTCTATCAACAGCAAATGCATGGAACAAAGGCCAATAAGTCATTTCAAGAGCTGGAAGTATGTTTCACATGATTTCAGCATATAATTCCCAGAATCTGGGATCTGATGCATAGACTCACGTTAAAGAGCCACTGGAGCTGGGAGGACTTTCAGCCATGTCATTTCCTTTGAAGGCAGGAGTGGTCCTTCTCAGATCAAACGAGCTGGACAATTCATTGTGTTTAACATCCGTGTTCTCCACACGAATTGCAATGGGTACAGACATGCTCCTGTGAAAGTCTCCTAAAATATAATGTCCAAATAAACTCAAATATCCAATTATTAACTTGCTATCAAATTACAAGTCACTATTCATAATTGGGTGTTTCTGCAACTTTGGGCACTTTTATGTCCCAGGGGTTAATTTAGATTAAAAATAAAATATTTCAACCTTTATCTGTTTATTATATAAAGATCATGATTCAACTGTCTTGGGAACTTTTATCATGCCTCCATTTTTTTGAATGTTTTTCATATTAGTGGTCAATGGTGTAAATGACACTTTAGTAAAAAAAGAAAAAAAAAAAGATATAAAAATAATTTAATTATAAAATAAATAAATAATTGTGTAAATAAAAAAATATTTTTGAGTTTAATTAATCAATTAAAATAAAAAATAAAAATCAATTATATATATATATATATATATATATATAAATTGATAATGATAAAATAAATAAGAATAAACAAGCAAACAAACAATAAATAAATACACATTTCTCATTTGTTGCATGTATAAACATTAGTGAACAAATAAAAAAAAGTGAGTTTTATAAAAGTGCACACAGCAAAAAGGGCCCAAATTTGAAGAAACATCCATTTAAAGTTGTTGGTTTTAAAGTCTTAAAGATCAAGAATTTATGGACACGATTCTACATGCTCACCGGCAGGTTCTTTCAGAGAGTTGTCGGACTGAGGCTTTAACCTCTTCCTGGGACTGCCCTTCAGAAAGCTGTTCTTCAGGAGCTCTGAAGCTGTGGCTCTGTTGTCTGGGTTGGGTTCAAAGCAGCAGACGATGAAGCCTTTAGCTTGCTCTGACATGCACTCTGGCACTGTGGGGTGAATCTTAAACATGCCCACCTGCAGTAGGACAATTACTCAGTTAACTGTTTTGAAGGAGAAATTCACATTTAGGCCCAAAACACACTCTTCACACCATCGTAACACAGCCAGTCTTACAACATCAGTCTTTGCCACAAGGGGTGCTATACAAGAAATGAGTATAAACCATCTGTTCATCATGCATATATGTACATGCATAGAGGCTTTTTTCTGGCCTTAGAGAATCTAATATATATGCAATGAAGCATGAAGTCAATTGGGAATGTGAGACTGGAATGTAAATAAACTTCACAGTTGACTTAACATGGTTATATAACATTTAGATTCCTGTTCAAAAACGTGTAGCACCTTAAACATGGCCGCCTGAGGGCTTCCCAGCTCATAAAAAGGTGGTTTCCCAGTGGCCATTTCTATGATGGTACAACCCAGAGACCAGATATCAGCTGGTTTTCCGTAGCCGCGAGGACCTTGGTCGATGATCTCTGGAGCCATGTACTGCAGAGTGCCTGTGGCCAAATAAATCAGGAGGAGTTTAAAAAGCAAACACACAAGATTACATAATGTAACCTGAGAAGCATGCAAGTATGCAGTAGGAGACTCACCTGTGAACGTCTCTGTGCATGGGTTGATTCCTGCTAGTCTCTTAGAGGTGCCAAAATCTGATATCTTTAGTACACCGCTGTACGTATTTATCAAAACATTATCACCCTGGTGAGATAAAAAGTGTGTAATGTAAAGTATGACGGGTGATAATAAAAAGAATGCAGCCGAAATCATGTTGATGAACAGATAGCTTTAAACTTTAAAGCATTGGCAGCACTGAGATATATTCATACCTTAATGTCTCTATGGACAATCTGATTATCATGGAGATATTTGAGCCCTTCCAGAATCTGCTTGGTGTAGAAAACAATGGTTGCCTCATTATCTTTAAGTGGCCCCCACTTTGATCTTAAGAGGGAGGACAAACTTCCTTTAATGGAAGAAAAAAACAAGTGAATACATGACGGTTAGTATTCAGGAAATGTGTAATCACACAGTTTAAGATAACAGACTGTATATATCCATATACACATATACACATAGGAAAAGTCAATAAAATTGTAATCTTTGCACTTTATATTGATTTCATTCAATGCTCTATTTTCAACAATTTTAGCTCAGATGCATTGAACTGATCAAAATGGGCCAGTAAATACATAATTAAATGCTGTTCTATTGATCTTAAAAACTGCCAATATTAGGAAAGATTTCCTGAGCAGTATATTAGAATGATTTCTTATCAAATTCAGCTTTGTATAAGTGTACAGCTTTGTATACTTATATAAAAGTTGTATTATACAAGTATATATAAGTTAATTATAAATATATTGTATATATTTATTCAAAATGCTCATCATAAAGGGGGTGTAGGACCACACATTTTAATACGTGTTATACGTCACCATCCCATAAATAACTCTTGAGATGAATTCTCAAAACTGGTCTGAGCTGTTTGAGTAAAGCACATTACCATTACACTCCCACCTATAGATCTTCTTACATACCAACATTACACACAACACACCCATGCTAAGAACCAAGGACTTCTCAACAGACTTGGCCAAAATCAACATCCCTATGTCATCAAAGAGGAACACTTAAAAGTTAACGTCAGAGAACAATGAGCAAAGTACGCCACACCTCCCGGAACCTCCTCCATGAAGATCTTGATGAAGCCATCCTCACTGACTGATCCCAAATACTGAACAATATTCCTGTGCTTCAGCCTCTTGTGTAGGGCAATCTCCTCATGGAGCGGCTGAGAATAGCTAAGAGCCAGAACGAGAAAGACAAGAAAGACCAAGATGGAAGACAAAAAGTAAATATTATGATGATCTAAGCTATGCAGTTCTTTTTTTTTTTTTTTTTTTCTTTTTTTTTATTTAACAGTCAGACATACATACAAACAAACCAACATAGTGCAGTAGTGAGCAATCTTGTAAATCCATAATTCCAGCAGTGGCAAGAGTGATTAAGTGTTTGATCTAAGTGTGTAAGTGAGCGTGTATGAGCGTGGGTATGTGTATGCGTGTGTACACAAAGTAACCATTTATTATTTATTACCATTGTCATTACCATCACTCCCCACTACCACCATACTGCCCATATTGTTTTTGTAGATTTTTATTTCCATCCTTCCTCCTATGTAACAATTGCCATTGTCAATCCTGTACAAAATATGATAATATAATAATATAATATAATAATATAATATAATATAATATAATATAAGACAACCTTCCCCCACATCTCTTCAGTCCCTATCTTTTCTATATTTTTCTTTTTTTTTGTGTGTGTGTTATGTGCAATGTCTAAAGTGCATTAAAAGAGGGAGTACAGTGCGAGAATGTCTCAAATTGGGCCAGAGATGCTGTCCCGTAAGCTATGCAGTTCTGACCACAATCATAAGGGTTTTATAGGCATATTTGGTCAAATCTTGGATCACATGGAAAGGTCTACATCTGCAAATGGTCTATGTGAGGACAGTTTAAACAAGCTTTAGTTCTGAGGACAAACATCACTGGGCCATGGGGACTTTTGAACATGGTCAGAGGTCAACAAACAAGTGCTGGATTTTTGCAGAAGCAGATCAACAATGTACTTAATACACAGTTAAGTGGCTGAAACTATAAACAAGCTAATACATTTTTTCCCCAATCAATTAATTAATAAAATGTTCCAATAATTAATATATTAATAATAAGAAGAATGCATAATTTAATATATGTTATTATTAATATCATATAGTAATTCATTATATATGCCAAAAGTGGGCAGGTTTTAGGCGTTATGAAAGTATGTTTTACTATGTTGTTAAGTGACATACATCAAGATCAAATGTAGGAATTTAACCAATAAACATCAACGCAATTGAAAAACATGTTCGTAAAAGTATGTTATAAACGTATGTTTTACTATGTTGTTAAGTGACATACATCAAGATCAAACGTAGGCATTTAACCAATAAACATTAACGCAATTGAAAAACATGTTCATACGTGCTGTCTTTCTCAGGGATCTCTTTGATTGCGATGCGCACATGATTGCTGAGGTCCCGTCCAGCGTACACCACTCCATAGGTTCCTTTCCCCAGCACCACCTTGTCTTTATTCTCATTTATCTCATAGATGTACTGAAAGAGAAATAGTACCATAATGGAGTCATATAGACCAACTGCACCCAATGGGTGAAGACCAGTGATGCATACATACAAATATAGATTTATCACTAATATGGATTACTCATTAAAAGTTACTATAATTATTTTTTAAGGAAATGAACATTTTTATTTAGCAAGGAAGCATTAACTGATCAAAAGTGACAGTAAAGACATTTATAAATGTAAAAAATGCTGTTCTTTTGAAGTTTATATTAATAAAAAAAGCCTTAGAAATGTATCAGTTTTCACAAAAATGTATAATATTGATTTCATAAATAAAATATCAACATTGATAATAATAAGAAATGTTTATTGAGCTCTAAATCAGATATTAAAATGATATCTGAAGGATCATGAAATACTGAGGACTGACGTAATAGGTGCTGAAAATTCAATTGTTAAAATATATTAAAATAGAAAACATTTTAAATTATAATAATATTTCACAATGTTACTGTTTTACTGTAATTTTGATCAAACAAAAAGCAGTCTTGTTGAGCATAAGAGACTACTTTCAAAAAATGTTATGAGCTTTTGAAGCATTTTGAGATGAGCTGTTCTGTGAAGCATTTGACATTTAAAAGAACGCTATTCCCAATGCATGGAAAGAAGCAGCATTACATTTTTTCACACCTAACTGCTAAATTCAACAAGCACTAAACAGGCAGTAAGGAAGTATGCTTAAATGTGGAGTCTACTCAATACTAAAGATAGCTGAAGAGGAAGCCAACAGGCTGACACAACACCATTGCACTATGGTACTGCCCGTAGTGGTACCATATTCCCAGTATGCAACGGGAAGCTGCATTTGGAATGATACACAATGAAGAGAACCATTTGGCCACAAATCTCAACTCAACTCTTTCATGATGATTAAACTGTTCATAAAAAACAAAAACATTAAAGCCAAGTGAAGACATCTGTTCAAGGAATTAAAACTACAGATGCTGACAGGCAGAGTCCAAGCCAACAGAAGTGTATAACCTAAACCAACCTTAAAAAAAAAAACATCTCAGGTTATTCTACACAAAAAAATATAAACCTATTTTATCTTAAAACATTAGTCTGCATCAGTGAAAGTCATTTTTAAGACTTTTGCATCAAGGATAAGGTAGAAATAGCTGCTTAATGAACCAAGTGCACATTTTCACTCATGCTGAACACGATTACTGGGCCTGAACAAACAATGAGAGGTTATAGAGAATTCATGGGGATTTATCTCACCTCTAAAACTCCTTCCCCTTCCCTGATCTGACTGGAATCTTCCACGGGACTTTCTGTTTGATGCAATAGAGAGCTCACCAAATCACAGAACCTGAAAAGCAACACACAAATTATAGGGTTTGAGTATTTGTTCAATGGTAAAAAAAAATCTTTAATTGTGACTCATTTCCTTGTGATGTTCAAACATGCACATTCACTTGATCATTTAGTCATTTCGTAATGTTTTCACTGGAATAATCAGAATAACTTAAGATAAGGTCAAATGTGACTTCCTGAACATGGTACAACAGAGGGGTAAGTAAATATGGCATGCATTTTAAAGGCTCAGTGAATAGAGCCTGGAGCAAGTATGAATTTAACAGTACATATTAAATTATTTTACATAACCTATTATTTTAGGAGTTCATTCTCTGCCAAAAACACTTATGACATTAGAGCTCTTTCCTCATGATGGCCTAGTTGGAAGCATGTTTGAGCAACACGTCAGCTGGTGGATCTCACCCTTTACAATGAAGATCGCTGGGAAAGTACAACTGGAAGTCATCTGAATTGTACAGGACATACAGGAAGCAGCTCCGTTCGTCGAACTTGGAGATGCTGTACGAGGGGAATAACAAGAGATTTTCAATCCAATCCAACATGCCAGAAAAATAAAACATCAAAGATACTGGGACAAGCTCTTTTGAAATTGATCCAAACAGAGCAGTTCAGTTTGTACTCCAAAAACTGCATGCGCTCCCTTGGGAGTTTATAATACTTAGAATGTTTTTAAAATTAAAGTATGTTGTGCAAAGTTATTTTGTTCTATTACATGAATGAGACATTTAATGCTTAAAAAGTTAAAATTACAACGACATGAATCTGACAACTACTATAGTCTTGTAGCAAAAAAAAAACAGCTTCAAAATTCAAAGTTTTAGGTTAAAGTGTGTAATGTGTTATAAAATGAAACATTAAAAAGTCTCCACAGGCAATAAAACAGCTCTTTGCAACTCAAACAATTTAATGACAAATATAATCCTATAATCCAAATATAATCAAATATAATTCCTGTTAGAATCTGTTTGGAAATACTAAACAGGAATAGAGATCCCACTAGGAGACTGTATCCATAACTAAAATGATTTTTTAAATATGGGTCAATCTGACCTTAATTATCAACATCCATTATCATTTGTTTTGCAACCTGAGCTCTAAACAAGATGTCCACTGTCCTAAGGGCTGGAAATAGGAACAAAACCAGTAAGAAAAAGAACTGAAAGAGACATTGACCTGTAGCTTAAAAAGCTGGAAAGAGGATAACAGGCATCAAGTAGGCCATGCAACATGGAAGTTTAAAAAAAGACCTATTCAGAGAAAAATCGATGGCCTGTGGCCAAAACAGAACAGCCCTAGTGGGACCATAAGCTGCTACAAGCTTGGAAAAGGAAAACAGAAAAAAAAGTGGAAAGTACAGTATTCCCATAAGCGCGCACAGTACCTTACTCCACGAATAGCAGATGCTGGGAAAGTCCACTCATGAAGACCTTTCTGGGAAAGTCAAACCAAGCACATTACACTCCCACATACATGTATACAAAGGTTGAATTTAACTGCATAAAGCAGCTCAAATTCACACCATCTTCTGTCATGTTAAATGATGCCTATCTTTCACATAAATTATTCAATAAGATGGAAACTCAACTACGTGACAACACAATACAATGTAACTGCACCCTGCACAATTAGGCTACTCCTCAATGCCACGTGTGAAAAGCGCCAAGAGTTTACCTCGAGTGGAGTGACGTGTCTCAGCTGCACCGTACGGCTGTCATCTTCCTCACTTACGCTTATTATACTGGGTTGGAAGACTTTAGTGGGTTCCAGAATCAGAACCTAAAAAAAGACAAGATATTTTGGGTCTGCTTATATTCTCCACCTTTTTGGCCTTTCCTTTAAAGGAGCATTTTACCCATTTCAACATCTTTATTGAAATTGGATCATATATGTAGTTGAAATGTAAAAGAGTTTTTGATTATATTGTGGCTCGTAAAGATAGCCACAAACATCGGATTCGAGCAGCAGAATTTTAAAATCCTCTTCTTCCATATCTATAGCTAAGTTTGTAGTCTCTAGACATTTTAATGAAATGTGACTTCTTGCTTATTATGATGCAAAATGACGATCTTTACGTCATAATAAGCAGGAAGTAAAACACTTAAATCCTTATTTCTCCCATCTCAGGGGAAAATAAGGGAATAAACCATGACCATTCAAAAATATGACTGGGTTTCTAAAGATACAATGCTTAATCCAAATGGGTGAAGTGTCCCTTTAAGTAAAGCAGGCTGATTTTTGGCAGTAGGGGATAAAGGTCCCAATACACTTCAAATCGAAGAACGAACAGGTGTGATGTCATTTCGAAACTAAATCAGGCCAAGATGAAGTTTCTTTGCACAGACAGCACATGTTCACACATTCATCCAACTGCTGCTCTCAGCAGCGTGGGTGGCGTTGGATGCTTGGTAGCAGTATTACCACTGGCCACGTATTTCGAACTTCGCAGCTGTGAGTAAATTGGGGCTTTGAGGTTGTCCTGTCCTACTGTTGAGGAGAAAAAAAAAAGTGGTCTTACCGGGCAGCGTGCTGTGGAAACTGTAGGTTTGCACGCCTGCACCATCAACTCCATCCAAAAGTCCACAGTTTCCTGTTTAGGATGATTCACGTCTTTGGGTTTGGCAAATTGCTTGTATAGTATATACGTCTCCATAATGGATGCAACATACCTGATTGAAGGAGAAATCACCTTGCAGTAAATTAAACATGTCTTATTCAGGGTTGTAAATGTTAATTTAGTGTGATTACTTCAACACGATAATGGAATTATTCATGACCGTGTCTAATTCAAACTTGAAGTACTTCAATTTTTAAAAACTGACAGAAAAATAAAACTTACTACCAAATCAAACTACACATAGATAATTAATCATTTCCTTGGCTCACCACATTGGCGCTTTGATCCTGTAGAGTTTCTCTGAAGCTTCTATGACTTTCTTGTGCTCGTTGGCCAAGATTCCAGCCCCAAGATAAAAACCAACATCCCAGTAGTCCTGCATCTTCTCAAGACAGCCCTTCCTGCCCAGCAGGCTACTGAGTGTGACACCTGCACAACAAGCACAAGGAACACCACAAACCAAAACTCATTCTGGGCTATATGAAAAGCATGAGACAGGGCAGCACTTCAAAAGTGTGAAAATAAGGCAACACCTGTTTAAACTGTTATTTTCTCACATTCTATATACTCATACTTTGTGTTATCCTGCATTCATGTTCAAAGCCTGAAGCATTTGGATCATAAAATTAGGCCACTAAGTATCAGTTTCTATACATCGCCCTGCTAAAGAGAAAATACCATGCAAAAGCCAACAAAGCACTACATGATATGAAGACAGAACCATGACCCATCTCACAGTTTAAAGTGCACGCAACCAGAGCAGTGAAGCTAAATAAAGGACACACAAACACACCGATTTTCCGCAGTTCAATAGAGGTGTCGAATTCATGCCCAGCAGCCATCAGGAGCACAACATTATTGATTCCAGAATGCAAAGAGGGTTCAATCTCAAAGGCCTTGCCGTACCTGCAGGACAAACAGAGGTAGAAACATAAGACATCATTACTACAATGAATATTAGAGAAATCAACATTAACACAAATACCTGAACATAACTGATTGGAGCACTGTTTAATGATTCATGATTGGATCACTGTTTTAGCCACATAAATAAATACAAATATTAATTCTATCCCATTTTTAGTAAAAAAAAATACAAAATTGTATTAGATATTATTTTTTCCCAGGGAATATACAATTTAAATTAACACAGTTTTCATCATCATAATTTTCTTTTATGCTTAAAACAAGAAAAAAAATGTTGAAGTGTATTTTTCTTGTATTATTAAAATCCACTGCTAATGGATAGAAAAATATTCCTTAAAAACAGGACATAGACAGGACGTGTGTGTGTGTGTGTATATATATATATATATATATATATATATATATATCTGCGTTTGTATGTATTTATGTATGGTAATGTAATAATGACATTTGTAATACATATAATGTAATATATTTTTTTTTTCCTCTCTGACAAAAAGTCTTATCTCATGCTATTTAGTTTCTCAATTAATGCATCTTTTCTTGTTTTAAAAGTTGTTTACATATTTTTTTAAGTAAAGCAGGACAAAAATTCTGAACAATACATTGGAATGATGTGCAGACCACTGGACTTACATTAACTTATATTTGTATTATTTAATATCAGATGTTCTCTTACCACAGCACATTTTACATATGAATGTGTGAAACAGATTTAACGGTCAACAGTGTTGTGATGCTCTGTCGATCGAGAGTATAAAGGCCAGGACTCACCAGTAACATGCTCGATCTCTGCTGTATGTGTCTTTGAAGCCTGAGCTCAGGAACATGTCCTTGTAGATGCGCCCGCACAGGCAGTACACGTCTGAGGCCACGGTGTTCCCTGACTCCACAATGGGTAAAATCAGCTTTAAAGCCTTGTCACGATCACCAGGGTGATTCCTCCTTTAAATACATTCCAAAATGTTTTGTAGGGAATAAATTGATAATTTTGTGTAATCTATTGTCAAAAAAACAAAAACAAAGCTCACCTGTTCAATGCAAAAATATACTGAAACTTAATGTTCTGATGTGATATCACCATGCACATGGGCAAATTATTCAAAGTCTCCAACAGATTTATGATGGAGTCGTAGTCCTTGAATCACATGGAGAAAGAGAGTTCAGTTTCAATAAATTATTTACACATTTGTCTGGCACTTTGGAAATATTATTGCTTGTTCCTCTGGGTAGAAAAAAAAGATTTTTTTTTTTTCGTAGAATAAAATTAAAAGCGTATGTAGCATGGCACTCTTAAAGAACAGAGAGCAATAATTTACTACGTCAAAGCCGGTGAGATCTCTTTTCTAAATCTCATTAATAATTAAACAGATTCAGGTGAGTATCACAGCAACAATCAAAACATTCCCACAAAGAATTGCTGACACAATCATGCATTCAACCGCAAATATAGAAGAAATACACATTACTGTATAGGGAAAGAGTATGATGCAAATACCTATGTCAGTTTGTAACTGAAAGCTTAGCGTAATACACATGTGACTATTAACTCACGGGGATGTCTCTGTAAGACAGCAGGAGGCTCATAACAACGTCTGGACTCAGAAGCTCCACCGAGTCCAGCCGCTTCTGGATCCGGCCCAGCTCCTGACTCAGGGCCGCTCCGGAAAAGTGCTCTCGAGCCAGACGGATCTCCCTGCGGATTGCCTCGTGGAGGTATTCGCTACAAGGCAAGAATGTTTTCTCAAGATCTTATTCAGACACTATAAAAGTAACATTTAGGCATCCAGGAAAAAGAAAATGCACATAATTACTTTCCTACCTTGAATTAATGTGAACACCTTCCAGCAACTTGACCAGTCGATCCACCAACGGGGTCAGCAGGGATTCAAATTTAAAGCTGGAATGAAGGAAATCTTTGATTCCTCTCATCAGTGTGGCATCACAGGCAAATACTTTACCCTGCGGTGACACCATGTAGGGGATAAAAGTGTAGCTTCCACATTGTTCCTAGAAAAAAAGAGGGAGGGAGACCAAACAAATACATCACTATATAGGATCTGGACTTGTTGTCAAAAAGGATGATCAGTAAGGTTCTCTGAGGTTCAGAGAAAAGGTCCAATTATACAAATGCTTGTTGTTTTAAATACCAGTGGTTTTGGGGAAATAAAAAAAAAAACTAAATTACACTAAATATAGTGAATTCTACCATCAATATCATAATATTTTGGAATATCTGTTGGTAAATAAGTGTGCACAATACAAACAGCATACATTAAGTCAACTATTTAATGAAGATTAAACTAAAAGGTCGAACTGTTTCAGAGTCTAAACTGGCTTACAAAAATACAGAAATATTCAATGGAATAAAAAGTGTATTCAAACTGACTTTCGAAAATAACCTTCCACTTTACAAAGGAAGTGCTTTTGTGTGTAGAGTGGGTCTCACCTTCACAACTTGAAGATGTTCCTCTTGTTTGTTACAGTACAGGATGACATTATTGGTCATACTAAAACTCTCTCTGACACCCAGGTGATAAAACAGAGACGGCTGGCAGATAGAGTTGTTCATCTCCACCACGACAACATCTAAAACACAGAGTTAAAAACAACAGCTCACACGTGCACTTTGGAAATACTCCTGAAAATCCCGGTTATGTGCGTGCCACAACTTGCCTGCGTTGTAAAAACTGTCTAGGATTTCAGTCGTTCCCAACGCAATGCGCTCAAAAGAAACGCTCTTCAGCACGGCGTGCGCGTCTTCGCAGGCTTCTGCAAGACATGTGTATGAAAGATTCTCCTCAGTTTGAGGCAAAGACCCGTCCCCAACGGCGATATACGCCACGTTTAAAGCCCTGGTTCGACTCCGCGGGGAAGTTATGCCTTTACATCCGCCGCCTATTTCGAGAGCCAAAGGATCCTGCCATAAACTTCCAGCTGAAACTCGGACGGGATCCTTTCTCTTGGTCTCGCGCAGGCTCATGCGCCTGCGTTCAGTCGTATACATGGTGAATCTCGAAAGCAGTGCCTAGCTAATAATGAAAAACATCCTGTGGTCGCGTCCTCGACATGCCTTTACTATGGCGTACAAGTATTCCTGCAGTTTTTTTCAGGTAAGACTCTGGGGAGGATCTTTAGACGCGCCCTCATTCTGCGTCCCGCCCTCCTCGTGTCAGTCCACAGCTGTGCGACCTCGCCTAAGTTCAGCCGCTGCTTGCTCAATGACGATTTGCCTGTTTGTTTTGAAACTGTGTTTTGTTTTTTAAGTCTTCTATTACAAAACACGTTTTTACTAATAGAATACATATATAATTTCTATTGATTACTTATAAAAATATATAAAGAGTTCAGATGCAAAAGCCTAAGTGCCATTTGAAATTTTCTTCTAAAATTAACATTTTTTATCAAGCTTGTATATTTAAGTTCAGTAATTTCACTTAAATGGCAATGAAGATTACCTATTAATTGTCATTTAAGTGAAATTACTGAACTTAAATACACAAGCTTGATAAAAATGGTCATTCTAGAACAAAATTTCAAATGGCACTTAGAGGCCTTTTCTCTCTTTCTCTCTTCTGACTGCCTTATCAATCTCTCTCTCTCTCTCTCTTTTCTTTTTTGAAAATTGAGACTCTATTGTGGAGTTTTTCTTTTGCTATTTGAGCAAATGGGAACACAAAATTATATTTAATGTATTCTCTCAATAACCGCAATAAAAGTTTACCCAACTATGACGACTTCCGCTTCTGAGAAACAGAAATTTGGAACGTTGCAATAAATAAAAGTACAATCACTGAATTGTAAATACATAAACATGTTAAATATTAAATGAAAATGTGAAACAAATGAAGAGTAAGTTTTTTAATGTAAAATTATGACACGTGATAAGTTTTTTTCCCCCAAACATTTTGGTGAACATACATACACATTATGGATAACTAACATTGCCTTCTTGACCCATTTTGATACGAGTCTAATCGTCTAGTGCAGTCGCGTGCAGCCCCTCCCCTCTCCACGCGCTGCCACTGACACACACAAGACTACACGCGCACTAAAAACATGGCGGATAAACACTAACCCTCACACAAAAACCTTTCCGCGCAAGGTAAACAGTCCCCTTCCTACCGTCCGTAATAATTGCGTAGCAGTTATTACACCACTTTATAACTTTAGATTCGGAAAATGTAAAGGGAAAACACAAAAAGTGACTCAAGAGAGTTGCTAGGTTAGCATTTAGCTAATGCTTGTTGTATATTCATTGCAGGTGTTGCCTTACAAAAACAAAGACCCAAATAAGTATATTTTACTGTTAGTTTCCTAGGATCGAGGTCAGAATAGCATGAAGAAATGTGCAATATAATATGCATGATGCTACGTAACATAGCATCATATTTGTTGAGTGTGGTGTTTTGTATGCTGTGTTCTTAAAAGTCTATTGTTATAGCGTTCAATGCACATAAATCATCCCTAGAGAGCTTGGTAAGATTTTAAAAAATACAGAATAAGCTTTTGTTCGAGTTGTCGAGCTGGAGGAGTGTAACGTCCCAGTGAAACGAGGCTAGTGGTGCTTGGTTCGTGAACAAATCTTTTAAATGAACGATTCATGATCTATCCCATATTTTCTCCTCTCATTCCTTTCGTTGCACGAATGAATCTTTTTAATGAACTGATTCAAAAGACTCGAATCATTTTGGGATGAATCAAATCCCTGCCACTGCTGCGCGCTGTCATTTATGGAGAGGGAGGGACTGTTGTTTGGCGCTCAAAGGCGCTCTGCATTTGAACAGAGAACTGGAAAACTGGGAGACAAGGAGCCATCTTTTGAGGTATCTGTACGCATACAGTTAGTTTTTATTGATCTAATCTGCATTTAGACATGATGGAGCGATGTATGAACACAGACATTATCACACGCGCGCGAGCAGAATAACTTAACGTTTAGTAGAATTGATTGAAAATTGTTTTGAATGTTAAAAAAACCGATGGTTTAACGGGATGTTATCGTTTATAGTATTATTATCGTGTTGTTGTTATTATGTTATTATTCATTTGAATATGAAGGGTTCAATCTTCAATGTCGCTTTTGTCTATTTCACATTGACCTTTTAGGTCATTGCTGCTGGTTGTTAAGCGTCTGACTCAACGACCCTTTGCGTCAGTCCGGAAAGAAACATGTTGAAGAGGTCAATGAGTCTGTGTAAGACAAATTTCCTTTTAGCTAGTTGTCGTATCCATATCCATGTTATTGTCCATTTTCTGGATATAGCTGATTGGCAGTGTTCAGCATTTCGAGAATGAGAGACCAGTGACAGCTGACCAGGACAACAATTCAATGCCTGGGAGACAGACAGACAGACAGACAGACAGACATGCCACATTGAACCAAACACAACAGACATTAATGTAAGAAAACAGCTTTAAAATCTAAGTTTTGTGTTTATGTTTCGCAGAGAGGTTGGGAAAAGCTGGATCATGAAGAAACCTGGACCACAGAAAGGTGATCCTCTTTTTTTGTTCAGTACTTTCATAATTTTTGCAGCATTATTTTTGAATAGAAAAATTGGCATTTTAATTAAATGTTACTTTTTTTGTCAGTAACATTGATAAACAGACAAATAAAAGTTTATAAATAAATGTAAAATATCCTTTGTCAGATTGTCACTCTGACACATTAATATAAACTCAATATAAATGCTACTTCACAAAACCTTATGTCAGCCAGTTTGAAAATGTTACTTTAAATGAACACAAATTATAAAACAATGTTTAGTTTGCAAGACATAAAAACACATGATTAATGTAAGATGTGGGGCACATAGGATGCAGGATTTTTTTGTTATTTATAAAAAACATAATTTGTAGAATTTATCAAAATAAAAATGGTTGTTTTCATTGTTCTTGACCCATGTAAACTTGTATACAGTCAGTGATCAAATAACAAATTCCAAGCAGTATCCCAAATAAATACAATATAATAAAATAATATATACGATATATATTATAAATATTAGATACAATTGAAATAAACAGTGCTTCTTTCGTGTTTTTCCAAGTAGGTAAGAAATACTGCAGAGTTTGAATAAAGTAATCAAATGTAAAAAAACACTGTATTAATTCAATATAGATTCATCCTTATTAAAGTAACACAATTTGCTAATTCGCTGATCTAATCTAACACATGAATTCAATCAATTATTTATTTACGTTCATTT